ATACATATTTTAAATTAGAATTAGCTATATATAATAAAATAAAAATATATATAACAAAAATGTTATAGTTAATATAAGAATACAATAAAAACTATAATATATATGAAAAAAAAAATATAACAAAAAAAAATCAGATATCATATATATAAAATGCATTATTAGAAATACATATATTTCTCTCAGAGATGTGAAAGTGGTTGTCAACACCTCAGATGAGAGCTGCAGCCATCAGATCTGCTAATGTCCCGAGGCCTGATCTGACACTGGTAAAAAGCGTGCATTAAAGCATGCTAGTAACTTTTGCAGAGAACTTCTGGGCATGTTTGGGGTCATAATTTGGATCTAATGCATTCAGTAACATGCAAAGACTTTACTGTAGTTTGCCAGTAGATATTAGATCTCAGTGTACATCACAACGTCTTGAAACATATGCACAGTGACATTAAAGGCTGCATCATGGCCCTCAGCGTCATGCTAATGTTTACATTTCTCATGCATCTGCGCGTCAGAGAGATGACACCGCCACAGACACGTGTTTATCCTATTTTGGGGTTTGGAAGACAATACACCAGTATGAAGAGACCTCACTTATGGTTCAAGGACAGGTGAAATCTCTGCGTTTGGTCTACTTTTTGAGTGTTTAGACTGGTCTAATACTGCTGACTTTGTGGAAAGTTAGTGCATGGTTTGCCACCTAACCTAATCTTTAAACCGATCTTTAGTGGGGAAGGATTGCATTGCCCTATCCATTTACACATATCTCCAGAAAATTAATGCTGTAAAGCCATACAAACTAAGAAAAGACTTAATTAGTAGTAAAACTGTGTCAGTTTGGTTTGATGGAAATTTGCATTTGGTGTTTCCAAAAACATGTGATCGCCTCACTTTCCCCTATACTTGAAGTCTGTTCTTTTGTTTAAAGCTTTTCCTACAACGCCAGTCCAACCATATATCCCTCTTACATTGTGTAAACTTAAGGTAATATACTTACATAATTTCCTAGTCTAGTGTAAATGAGAGCTGAGGTCATACATAGTGCATCAACAATTTCCGCTCTAAAAATGTAGTGTTTTAGTCAATACTGCCTACATAGGCTGCTGACTTTAACTCAGTATCCTAACTGAACTGTATGAGTGATTTGGTACATCCTAATAAGCTCTTCATTCAGTTGAATACACGAACGTATGGGAATTTAGATTCAACCAGTTATTATTATTGCAATTCGTTATGGTGCCGCTAGAGGCGCAAGAATTGCACAGTGTACCTGTAAGATTTAAATCTTCAAAAACTCTTTATATATATATATATATATATATATATATATATAATGATATTAA